GTATTTATGGAATCCAAAAATGCAGTCTCTGCATCATCCCTGTCTTGACGCTTATTTAGCCTGCAAGGGCATTGTCGAAATTTCTCACTGCTGTATTTTTTTTTTTCTGCCTTTGCAGCATCTCTCTCTTTCTATCTTTTAACGCTTTAATTGACCTTCTGAGTTTGGTGGTTTCCTCTGTCAATATTTGTGCTTACTTGTGGAATTTTATAGGGCTTCTGTATTCCTGTTGCTGACTCGTAGTTTTCTTTAAGGTGCAGACCCACTCCTCCATCGATCATTCATTTACAATTTTTATGCTGATACCGCACTGATTATCTTCCTTCAGCAGACTCTTAGTATACAAACAGCTAAATTTAAATTAGGCATTCCATTTTCCATTTCAAGACTTCGGGTGCATTTATACCATCTCATTAGCCACTTGCTCTTGGGTTTGTTGCCTGTTCTTGTATACGCTTGAATGTTGAATGTGATGTTGTTGTTGGGACTGGTCCTTGACAAAATTCAGGTAGGAAATACGTTCCTTCTATCTTTTATCAGCCTTTAAAGAATAAGTCATCTGAACAGTGCACTCTGCTGTAGTTGTTGACTTCCCTGGTATTCTCTTTAAAAATTACCTCAAAGCCTTTTTAAAATAAAGTGCCAATGGCCTGATTCGGGAGGAGAGATTCTTGGAGATAAGGACAGTGTTGTGTGTTTGGGGATGCTGAATGATGTGCTGAATCTTGGGAACTAGAGCCTATCTATATAGGTCTTGGAGACCTTTCTCCTGTACAAAGGTTGGAGATGCTAATTTGTGTGCTGGTGAGAGGGACTGCACTACAAACCCTGATGACTGATGGTCTCTATAAGGAGGGTGTCACAGACTGCTGCAGAACCAACCTTGTTTTTAAATTACTTTATTTTCCCAGCCCTGACGTGAGAGGTGTGGAGAAGAGAGAAAAGTTATTTTTCTCTTTCTAAGGCATCTTTAAATTTTCTGATTATCTGGTTACAGTGTTGTCTGTTGGGCAGATGGTGGTGTAGGCACTGTCCTGCTGAGAACTGGGCTAAAAATCTCATTGTGAAACGTAAAGTATGTGTTCTATGATAGTCTTTGTGTTGTTGAGAGCTTGTTTTTGTTGCTAAAAATGGTATGAATAATCCAAGGTCTATGAGTATCCTTCAGGAAATATTCGGTTTTAGTGAAGTCAAGGACCTCATCTTCATAGGATTAACAACATCAGTTGCTCTGAAATATAAAATGTAGCTCCTATTGCTATGAGCTATGATCTTTTTTTTTTTTTTCCCTTCCGTCAACCTAGTCCTTTGCAAAGGTTTAACAAACTCCTAATGGATAAAAGTGGTTCCTGTTTTGGGAGATGAAGAGAGAAGGCAAAACATCCATTTATGGTTCGAAAAATTGTTCAGGTATTTTGAAAAGACAAGAGAAGTGTCCAAGAAAGCTGAATAAGTCTGTGTTCCATTGGGTAAGTGATGACTGTAGGACTTCCCAGTAAAGGATTTCTGAACAATTTGCAAAACAGATTCTCAAGACCTTATTTGCTAGGTACATCAGATCGTTTTTCAGGAAGAAGCTAGAGGGAGATCTGGAAAAAGTGAATCTTGGCTGTGGTCCTGGAGAAATTTATATTGAAGGTCAGAATAAAGCAGGGATCTCTCAGCCTTTCCTGTTTTACTGCAGTTCAGCAGCTCGTGGGACTAGCATGTGATAGCAGAGAGCAGGAAGCCAAGAAATACCTACCACAGGAATCCATCCCGGTTCTTCCAAGAATGAAACGGTGATAAGACAAAGGAGCAATTTACAGGAAGGTGTTTATAGATCGTATTTGGTAAAGGGTGGAGGGGAACACGTGAGACCTGATATCTAAGAGCCAGTAGGACTTTTTCCTTGAATAGAAAGGAACAATGTTGACAGTCTTTTCCTCAAAGCTTGAACCCTTAGGAATGATAAGGAGTTAGGAGTGAAGCCCAGTGTGGTTGTGTCCTGGGCTGGGCAGGCACACAGGAGCCTGCACTTTGTCCACAAGCCCGGCAAAATAACATGCTGGAGAGATGAAGAGGCTTCCACCCTCTGTGAGCGATCCCTGTGAGCATCCACCTGTTGCTGTTGCCTTTTCTGTGCAGCTACAGGGTTGTTTCCCTTGTGCAGAGAAGAGAGAGGTGTGCAATTTAAGGAAGATCAGAGTTTGAAGCCTCTAAGCCAGTTGATAGTTGCGTGCTGGCAGTCGACAAGTCCCTGGTGTCAGCAGGCAGTGCAGAGGAGGAGCGTGAACCTGACCGACCGTGACGAGATGCTGGTAGATGCTGCTAGGCTGTGTCTGAACAATGTTGAGCTCTGGCAAGTTTAGTCCTGTGTGAGAGGCTGCTTGTAGTGTGTTTAACCTTCCTAATAGTCTCTTAAGTTTCTTCCTAAGCTCTTTCAGCCCTTGGCTTGCTATGTGGGACAGCACAACTTGTGTCTGGCTTCAGTGCTTTTAACACACCCCTGAATATTCTCATTCCCGTCAGTGCCGTGCACTGGGGAGGCACTTGGTGAGAGCGAGTCTTGGGGACTCTTGAGGAAGAGTCTTGGTGACTTCCCACTGGTTGCCTGTGATGTTCCAGCACCAACAATGAACTCAGCACAGATGCCTGTTGCTGATCCTGCTTGACCCAGGCTATTCCAGGTCCTAGTGAAGAGCACTGTTTGATGCAGGAGAAGGTACTTGTTTGTAAACTAATATAGGGTGTCTGAATCTAGCAGATAAAGCTTATGTTTCAAACAAACCTCTTTTTGTCTCAAAAATCCACTAGCTAGATGCAGGCGGAGGGAGTTTGTGGAGTTTTCTGGGGCTGGGCATCAAGCACAAGCTGATTTTTATCCCAACTACCAAGTATGGCACCTGAAATGTATTTGTTCTGTGATCTTGATCCTGCCCAGTGAGTAGGTCTTCCAAAAGAGATTTATCAGAGGAAGCATGCAGAAAGCACAAGGAGTTTTTGCTAGAAGGCAGCCCGGACAACGTGTCTGAGCTTGTGCCTGGGTTACAGGGCTCCTGGGTCGTTCTGCTCTGTGTGCTGACATGCTTGGATGTGTTTGCGGGCAGCATAGTCCTCGTCTTTCTTAGTCTTTGCTTTCCAAACCTGTAGAGTCCCTTTCCAGGGACTACGGAAGACATGGAGCACTGCAGAATCCTCCTGTATGGCAGCAGTTGGCTAGTGGTGCTGTCTTGCTGCTCTTCAGTCATCAGTGAGGCATAACCAGTCTCCTCTCCAGTCCAGTCTCTTGGAACAATGGGTCATTGTGGTGCTAATTGATTCCTATTGATCTAATGTTTCCTATAAGGAAATAGTAAACACAGTGGCCTTAATTTGGCTGTATCCTCATTTCCATATCTTGCATACTCCTACCTCATCTCTTAGTGTGATGAGGGCAGTAGCTCTGTAGAGGCTGTATTGAGGTAGCATGAATAACTGGTGGGTGGGATTTTTTTTTTAAGCTGCTAGTTAATATTGGTTCAGTTAGCTCTGTTCTCATACTGTTAGCGCTTTCCTGTGTCCAGGCGAATGGTACAGCCTGCCGAAGAGATTGGAAATCTCTTGTTTCAAGCAAGGATGAGAATGGCACCTGGCATTTCTTTCTTGGGTGCCTTCTCAGTCCTTCCATCTATTGGAGGCTCTTGTGTGTGCCTTGTCACTGTCCACAACAGGAAACACAGGTTTAAATCAGGGAAATAGCAGAAATGAGGGTGTTGCTAAACAAAAAATTGCTTTTGCCCTAAACAGGGGTTAGAGTGCAGAGCAACCAAGAGCTGAGCATGAGCATGGCTCTTTTTCTGATGTCTGAGAGGGCTGCAAGTGCTGGTAAGGGCCAGGGGAACAGGTGAGTAAACAGTGCTTGGGAACCAAACTGTGATTGAAACACAGCCACAAACAGTAAAACACAAAGCAGGGAAAAAAAGTGGCTTTTGTAGGTTCCTCTTGTGTTTAGAGTACTTCTGAATGTGCCGAGTGAATTTTGGCTCAACTTTGTGATGAGTGTGCTCCTAAGCACCAATGCAGGTATTTCTTCTCTCTACCATTTGAGCGTGGCACTGAAGGTGTGTGCCACTGTCAGTCCCACTTATCAGCTCCTTGTCACTGTCCTGGAGAAATAGCTGTGGAGTTAAAAGCCCTAACATCCTTGCTGAAGTGTGCTCCCACTGAAGGACCTCCTCAGCTGGACACGTGGGGCTCTTGGCACAGTAAAGGCCAGAGGTGCAGGGGTTTCTTCTTGCAGCCCTTCAGAACCAGGGGTTTTATCCAGAGGCAGTTGCCAAGCCCCATCACACAACCTTGATGTTTAGGATATGTTCCATCAGCACCTCCATCGCTCTCAACCTCGATGTTTCTCTAGGTTCTCATAGTGGTCTTGTCTGGTTAGCCTTGTCTTGGGAGGGGGCTCATTAGGAAACAGTGTCATAAAGTCCTGAGCCAGATTAATATCTCACTTATTGGGGGAGGGGAAGTTTCTGTCTCTACCCTTGTCTCTGGCTGGAAAATAAATTGGTTCAACTCCTTTACCCAGCAAAGAATTGTGGCGGGTTTTGGTGGTCTGTTTTCTGCCATTTTTAATGAACAAAAGTGGATTACCAGGTGATTAGGCCAGGGCCAGAGCAGGTGCAAGATTAGGAGGGGGATGTGTGCGTGGACAGGAACATACATGCCTGGGGGAGGACAGGGGAAGCAAGACCTCCGTTTTGATGGAGGTATTCATTCTGCTCAATTCTGTTGTAGAAGCTTGTCTTGAATGTCCTGACAATTGTGAGTGCAGTGGGGGGGACCTCTATTATGGCCCAATTGCAATGGGTAGCTAGCTTTTATGTCTTAATTATTGGGTGGTAAAGATTTTCACCTTGGTTGTGAAGTTGGATTAGGCTCAGTTGAGCCCTTAGTGGGCATCAGGGAGCTGAGCTGTGGGGTGGTGGCAGTGTTGTGGTTTTATGTCACACCTCTGTGTATCCCTTCTCTCTCCTCAGCTTGGCATCGCTGTGGGCTTTTTGGTCCCTCCAGTTCTGGTTCCCAATGTGGAGGATGTGGAGAAGTTGGCCTATCACATCAGCATCATGTTCTTCATAACTGCAGGTGTGGCAACAGCCCTGTTCATCCTGGTTGTTATAGGTAAGGAGGTGGGAGAGTGCACATGAAACCAGGTGGGATTGAAAAGATCATCCTGTGTGTGAGGGGCCAGTGTGCTAGGAAACAGGCCAGGGAGGTCATCTGGGGATGAGTCCTAGAAGGCAGCTCACAGGGTCGTGCAATACTGGCTGGAAAATAAATTGGTTCAACTCCTTTACCCAGCAAAGAATTGTGGCGGGTTTTGGTGGTCTGTTTTCTGCCATTTTTAATGAACAAAAGTGGATTGCCAGGTGATTAGGCCAGGACCAGAGCAGGTGCAAGATAAGGAGGGGGGTGTGTGCGTGGACAGGAACATACATGCCTGGGGGAGGACAGGGGAAGCAAGACCTCCATTTTGACGGAGGTATTCATTCTGCTCAATTCTGTTGTAGAAGCTTGTCTTGAATGTCCTGACAATTGTGAGTGCAGTGGGGGGGGACCTCTCTTATGGCCCAATTGCAATGGGTAGCTAGCTTTTATGTCTTAATTATTGGGTGGTAAAGATTTTCACCTTGGTTGTGAAGTTGGATTAGGCTCAGTTGAGCCCTTACTGGTCATCAGGGAGCTGAGCCGTGGGGTGGTGGCAGTGTTGTGGTTTTGTGTCACACCTCTGTGTATCCCTTCTCTCTCCTCAGCTTGGCATCGCTGTGGGCTTTTTGGTCCCTCCAGTTCTGGTTCCCAATGTGGAGGATGTGGAGAAGTTGGCCTATCACATCAGCATCATGTTCTTCATAACTGCGGGTGTGGCAACAGCCCTGTTCATCCTGGTTGTTATAGGTAAGGAGGTGGGAGAGTGCACATGAAACCAGGTGGGATTGAAAAGATCATCCTGTGTGTGAGGGGCCAGTGTGCTAGGAAACAGGCCAGGGAGGTCATCTGGGGATGAGTCCTAGAAGGCAGCTCACAGGGTCGTGCAATACCATATCTTGCTGCTTCAAGCCATTGATGAACATCACGTGTAAAAGGGAGTACAAGAGGTTGTGAGTGAGCCTGCCAAATTGTTCAGTTCATCCTTTGATTGCCTGTGTAATAAAACCCTGGCATGAGTAAGTCCTTTAAAAGCCAGTAGAAATCTTCCAAGGTTCACGGTCATCTTGCCTGCAAACAGGGTGCAGGGACTTGGGTTATGTCTTGGACCTGACTACCTCTTAAGGGTAGGGAGAAAGAGGCAGGTTATCTGTCGTTACAGGAACAAGCTGTTCCTAGGATGAAAAAAGTAACCAGTTATAAGTGGAAAGAAGGAAGCCTTAAGGGCAGTAGCAGGACACCAGAGGTGCCATTCCACTGCTTAACATGTGAAGTGGAAGTCAGATCTTTAGCATGAAAGATTGACAAGTTCACTGGAGAGCAGAGCTTGTCAGCCAAGTTCCATGTAATGCCAGCTGGCTTTTCCCATTCCACTTCTACATTTGTAACTGCATGCAACTCTTTTGCAGCTGGCAGGCCATCATCCTGGAGATAAAGGCATTATTAGTTCTGAGAACTATCTTGTTGCTGCCAGACACTGTCTACACAAAAAGCTAATTGAAAACAAGGTGCCTCCCCCATCACAGGAGTTATGTTGGAGAGACCCTGTTCTTTTCTATTCCTGGATGTGTGGAGATCAAAGCTTAAGGGTGATGGTGTGTTTTGTTTTTACTAAACCCTCTGGTTGCACTTGGTTTTACTAGCCCCTCTGCTGTCCCTTAAATGTCTCAACCCACAGCATGTGCTCAGGCTGACCGATTGCAGTGTTACAAACAGCTCTACTTTGTGTCTGGTTTCAGTCTTCAAGGAGAAGCCCCTGCACCCGCCGAGCCGAGCTCAGGCCTTGATCCAGTCAAGACCGCCAGAGGAGTATTCCTACGTGCAGTCAATCCTCCGTCTGCTCCGTAATGCCAACTTTCTGCTGCTTATGGTCACTTATGGTAAGGTCTGGCCTTTCTTCTGTGCAGTTATCACTGCTAGACATGTTTAGCTTCTCCCTCCCTCTCCATGCTCTGTTGGGACAGTAACTGGCTTGAGTTGTTTTAGGGGAGCAAAGGGCTGGCTGTGCTGTCACAGACCAGGAGTCCTCCTAGCCCAGTAATCTCCAGCAGGGGTTACAAGCAGATGCCTAGGGAAGAACAAAAGCAAGGCAAGCGCACAGAGGACAATGTACCTCCACCACTGTTCTCCTGGTCTTTGACTGTTTTCTGTTCAGGGGATTTCCTTATCCTGTTGTCCTTTTTTCTAGTCAGTTAGTTACTTGCAATGACCTAATCTAAGTGCTAGCCTAAGAAATCTATGGAGCTGTGTCTGAGTGCAAGTCACAGTGCTGGGTGACAGTCCTTTCCCAAGGCAAGGGTATGGCTGCCAGGCGTCCCAGCGGAGGTCATGTGGAGCGTGCAGATGTGCAGACTGTGTCAGCTTCCCTGGCAGCCCCTGTGAGGCAAATGGAAGGAAGGATTGGAGAACATCTTCTTTTGCCATCTGTCCTTGCACACTGGGTTTGCTGCTCGCCTCTCTTCAGCAGTCTTGGTCTGTTTCTCTGAGGGCAGTGTGATGTCTTGAATTTGTTCCCGATGCTGAATTGTCATATGGAAAAGTACTTTTCTCTTTAGCAGAAAGGCCATTGTGGTCTATGCCTGGCTACATAATAGGATGTATTGTAGCCAGCTAGTCTGCGGGGACTGCAGTCATCGCTTCCTACCAGCTTGATGTGGAAGCTCCTCAGGGGGAAAGTTAAATAGGGCTGCAAGTTCTGACAGCAGTTCTGCCTAAGGGACCTGGTGGATGAGTCGCCAGGTTGGAGAGAGTGAGGTGGTGGCTTTGTACCTGCTGAGGGTGCTAATGGTCTTTGGAGTTGTTGAAATTTATTCTCCTTTTTTGGTGCAGTAGCACTCTAGAAATGCCCCTCTCAGATTGCCCTTAAGCTCTGCTGGTTTGCATTGCAGCTGCTGGTTTGGTTTGGGTTTTCGGTTGTCTTTTTTTTTCATAGTACACGATGTCATCTCAGAAAGTGGAGATAGAAAAAAAACTGTCAGTCAAGCTGTATCTAAAAGTTGGATTGTATCATCTGCTCAGTTTGCACTTTCACTTTAGGGAAAAGAAAGGGGAAATCATTTGTTCTAATAGGCATAAACAAGTCCTAAAGGAGAGAGGAGGCCTCTCAGTATGAAGAGCAGCTTTAGAATTTGACCTCCCTGGGATAATTCCCTTCTGGCTGTCATAAACAATGTGGAAAGGCTGTTCAGTGGCTCATAATTCAGTCTCCCTGCTGGTTGATGCATTTATTCTGTCCCTTTCTGTGTCAGCCTCACGTCAGTCTCCAGCTTGACTTGAGATGGTGACTGTTATTCAGAGAGGGAACTATACAGTGAAACTTCTTTTTTTTTTTTTTTTAAACTAGTCTGGCTTTAAAAAGGGGACAGTTTTTCCTAGTCAAGTCAAAAGTTATGTTGGCTGAGATTTATGACATCTGCACCTACCTGAGTCCAACTGAGTCATCCTACCTAGTGAACATGAAGATACCTGCAGCCTCCCTTTGATTTTGTATTAGCATAGTGTGTGTCAGGGGAGAGAAGGGGAAACCTACTGCTTGTTCGTCTCCCCTGGCTGTAGGAGGAATGAGGGCCTGGTCAAATCAGGTCTACAGACCTTTAAGGTCTTGATATTCCCAGCAGCTGCCAAGTCCTTTCCTGTGATAGGACTTGCAGTGCTGGAAACATTGGTGGCACAGTGGCTTTGTGCTAGTGAACTGTTTTTCAGGAAAACCTTTTTCCCAAAGGCTGCCGATGTCAATTCTATAAAGCTGAGGCATACCATGGTGTGGGCATTAAGAAACTCCAAGTGTATTGGGTTGGGCTTTGCACTGGAGAGGATGTTGCTACTGGGAGGCAGTAGGCAGAACAGGGTGGGAAAGACTGGTAAAGACAGCCCCAGAGAATCAGCCTTTGAAAAGGTGATGGGGCAGCAAGGAGGATGCAGGGCAGTGAGATCTGTTGTCCTGGAGGATTATGAGTGTGAAGAAGAGGGAGACCAATAGTCTGGCATGTAGGCAATAGGCTGCTTAGCTTTAGAAGACTCAGGTTCTAGTCTAAGGCAATAGGCAATAAACTTCCTCTTTGGAGGTAGTTCCTTTTGGAGCCGTAGGCAATAGACTTCCCCTTTCTAGCTTCTGTAAAAGTGAGGAGGCACTGTGATGTCTCAAAAATGTTCATCTACAGCTCATTACAAGCAAACCATGGCAACTAGCTAGTGAATTGGGTGGGACTGGACCTTCAGATGTCCTTCTCCCAGCTACTAGTTCTGATTTTCCTCATCTGCATGTGCAAATGGGCACTGGCCCATTGGAAACAACCCTTGCCTCTTTTATGAGCATTCAAACAGCTGTAATTCACAGAGAAAATTAACTGAGCAACTGTGACATGTGAAATGCCCACAACTTTTTCCAGCCCTCACAAATGCAAATTCAGCACATTGTCTTGATTCTTAGAATATTTTGCCTGACTCTGGTGCCAAGTGTTACTGCCAACTCTACATCGCTTTCTGCCCAGCTTGGGAGCAGGGGCCCTTCTCTCTCTTGGAAATTGCATGTATCACAGAGCTGCTGTGAAGCTGGTGTACTGGCAGCATGAGCTGCCAGAGCAGTGTTTGGCTGTCCCCAAAAGGCTTTTGGCCTCTTGGCTGGGCAAGAAGCAGAGGGACACAAATGATCATTCCATGTTTATGCTCAGCTTTGAAGTTAAGCAGTAGCGGGTAGAGGGATGGTGCTGATCTGCCATGTTCCCATGTCCTGGCACTGCAGTTTGTGGTGTCTCCTAGTGAGCAGGGTGCCCCAGAGATGGAGATAGGATGAAGGTGACTTTGGCAAAACAGCCCACAAAAGCCTTAGCCAAGTGGGACTGTTTAGTTTGAGGAAGGGGAGGCTAAGGGGAGACTTCATCACTCTCTACAACTACTTGAAAGGACACTGTAGAGAGGTTGGTGCTGGTCTCTTCTCACAGGTAATTAGCGATAGAACAAGAGGGAATGGATTCAAGCTGCAACAGGGTAGGTTTAGACTGGACATTAGGAAAAAATTCTTCACAGAAAGAGTGGTCAGACACTGGAATAGGCTGCCCAGGGAGGTGGTTGAGTCACCATCCCTGAAAGTGTTTAAGAGTCATTTAGATGCGGTGTTGGGGAATATGGTTTAGGGGAGAACTTTGTAGAGTAGGGTAGATGGTTGGACTTGATGATCCCAAGGGTCTTTTCCAACCTGAATGATTCTATGATTCTAAGTGTTTCAAAGAGCCAGCTTTCAAGGCTGGAGGGCTCCTCCTTGCTGTGGAATCTCTGATTGTTCACCTCACTCCCTGGCTGCTGGCCCTGCTGGAATTTCCAGCCTTTTTGAGTAACTCTTGGAAAGGACTGACAGATTCCTCCCGCCTAAAGAGCATGTCACACAACTTACTAGCCTCTTCTGTAACCCTTTGACACGTTTTTTGGAGCAGGGAGTGTTGTTACAGGCAGTTGGCTTATTTGGGATCACTTGCGTAAGATTCTTCATCTGTTCTCTGTGCCATGAAGATCCGCTTAATGTTATCAGAGACGGCGTGTGAATGAAGTGTGATGTCCCCTCCAGCTGCTGATCTTGAGGCTTCTCAGCGCTTCAGGATCTGTGCAGGACAATGGGTATCCAATGTCCTAGTGGACAGGACTAGGTACAGGGATGGTGCTGAGTACTTCGGGGACAGGGGAGCTGGAGGACTTCAGGGTTAGGGGACCTCAGGGTTTTGTTCCCTTTCTCAAAACTCTGCCTGCTAGACTGCACTTCTCTATTGCGATGTTTCTGCTTTTAGCTGAGGCTGACAGAAGAAAAGTAGGAAGTGGGAACTTGACATGTATCCGTTCTGTCAGGATTTCAGGCAGCTGTGCCAGAGTTTTTTGAAACCCATGTCTCCTTATGGAGCCTATAGATGTGAGCTGAAGTGGTGAAATCTGTGTTGCATCCCTCCCCTCATCAGGATCACTGAAGCCTTGAAGAGAAACTAACTGCAAATGTAAATGACTTTCTGAGAAGAAAGTTGCGCTGACTGTTACAGACCTCATCCACCTGGGGAAGATTTCTCAGTATCACCCAAGGTGAGAGTGTAGCCGTTGGGGTACTGCTGGTCCAGCGCCCATGTGGCTGTTCTTGTCTACTATAATGAAAGCTTTTGGGTTTTGTCCCCTTTGGGAAGGCGTTTAACTCAACCAGAGTTGTATCTAAGCTGGAGCAGAGTGTCTGAACGGGGCTTGACCAGTATCACCCCAACGGTTTCCATTCTCACCTTGGGTGATACTGAGAAACCTTCACCAGGTGGCTGATGCCTGTAACAGTTAATCTAACTTCCCTTTCAGAAAGACAATTACTTTCACAGTTGTTTTTTTTTTTTTTAGGCATCAGTGGTATCTTTTAAAATGCAAGACTTTTCCCATGCAGACACACACAGCAGGTGCCTGGGGGAAGTGCTGTCTGTGCTTCACCATCAACCCTGCTCCTACTTGCCTTCTGGTGTTTCTTGGCTTGGAGACGATGTTTTTTACTGGCTCTCAGCAGGGACAGTGCTAGGAGGCTTTTCTCTGGAAGGAAACCACATAGGTCAGTGGCACTGGTGTTAATTGAATCTCAGATCTTTGTTAAAGGTGTGATGATGAGGCAGGTGCTTTTCTAGTATATTATCTTGGCTGGGAAGAGGAGAAAACTCCAATGCTAAAAATGGATCTGGCTGTGAGGAAGGGTTGAGACCCTATGCAGGACTTGAAAGGCCTTTTAGTACCAGAAATCTGCACAGCCCTTCCTCTAGTTGCTAAGGTAAGAACCACCCTGAAACTACAGGGTGCTTCCTCCTGCATGCTGAGATCCAGGTGTACTTGTCCTTCTCTCAGTAACCTATGTCTAGCCAGTCTGTCTGGCTCTCCTGAGACTTGGCAGCTGTATTATGGATCACTGCTCCCGAAGATCTCTCTCTCTGCGTTTCTACCTTTTCACTACCCAGGAGGAGAGTAGCAGGCTCTGAATGTGCTGCATTTTTATCCCCCTCTCAGGTCTGAATACAGGTTGCTTCTACGCCCTGTCCACTCTGCTGAACCGCATGGTGATCCATCACTACCCAGTAAGTGCATCCAACCCTCAAGGTCCTCTGATGCTTTCTGTTGTCTGGTGCTGACTGCCAAAGGAGTGTCTGTGAGAAATGCAATGCCACAGCACTTCTGGCTGGCTCTGGCACTGGCTGGAAAATAAATTGGTTCAACTCCTTTACCCAGCAAAGAATTGTGGCGGGTTTTGGTGGTCTGTTTTCTGCCATTTTTAATGAACAAAAGTGGATTGCCAGGTGATTAGGCCAGGACCAGAGCAGGTGCAAGATAAGGAGGGGGGTGTGTGCGTGGACAGGAACATACATGCCTGGGGGAGGACAGGGGAAGCAAGACCTCCATTTTGACGGAGGTATTCATTCTGCTCAATTCTGTTGTAGAAGCTTGTCTTGAATGTCCTGACAATTGTGAGTGCAGTGGGGGGGGACCTCTCTTATGGCCCAATTGCAATGGGTAGCTAGCTTTTATGTCTTAATTATTGGGTGGTAAAGATTTTCACCTTGGTTGTGACAGAGGACAATGTACCTCCACCACTGTTCTTGTAGTCTTTCACTGACTTTTCTGTTCAGGGGATTTCCTTATCCTGCTGTCTTTTCTAGTCAGTTAGTCACTTGCAATGACCTAATCTGAGTGCTTAACAGAGGACAATGTACCTCCACCACTGTTCTCCTGGTCTTTGACTGTTTTCTGTTCAGGGGATTTCCTTATCCTGTTGTCCTTTTTTCTAGTCAGTTAGTTACTTGCAATGACCTAATCTAAGTGCTAGCCTAAGAAATCTATGGAGCTGTGTCTGAGTGCAAGTCACAGTGCTGGGTGACAGTCCTTTCCCAAGGCAAGGGTATGGCTGCCAGGCGTCCCAGCGGAGGTCATGTGGAGCGTGCAGATGTGCAGACTGTGTCAGCTTCCCTGGCAGCCCCTGTGAGGCAAATGGAAGGAAGGATTGGAGAACATCTTCTTTTGCCATCTGTCCTTGCACACTGGGTTTGCTGCTCGCCTCTCTTCAGCAGTCTTGGTCTGTTTCTCTGAGGGCAGTGTGATGTCTTGAATTTGTTCCCGATGCTGAATTGTCATATGGAAAAGTACTTTTCTCTTTAGCAGAAAGGCCATTGTGGTCTATGCCTGGCTACATAATAGGATGTATTGTAGCCAGCTAGTCTGCGGGGACTGCAGTCATCGCTTCCTACCAGCTTGATGTGGAAGCTCCTCAGGGGGAAAGTTAAATAGGGCTGCAAGTTCTGACAGCAGTTCTGCCTAAGGGACCTGGTGGATGAGTCGCCAGGTTGGAGAGAGTGAGGTGGTGGCTTTGTACCTGCTGAGGGTGCTAATGGTCTTTGGAGTTGTTGAAATTTATTCTCCTTTTTTGGTGCAGTAGCACTCTAGAAATGCCCCTCTCAGATTGCCCTTAAGCTCTGCTGGTTTGCATTGCAGCTGCTGGTTTGGTTTGGGTTTTCGGTTGTCTTTTTTTTTCATAGTACACGATGTCATCTCAGAAAGTGGAGATAGAAAAAACTGTCAGTCAGGCTGTGTCTAAAAGTTGGATTGTATCATCTGCTCAGTTTGCACTTTCACTTTAGGGAAAAGAAAGGGGAAATCATTTGTTCTAATAGGCATAAACAAGTCCTAAAGGAGAGAGGAGGCCTCTCAGTATGAAGAGCAGCTTTAGAATCTGACCTCCCTGGGATAATTCCCTTCTGGCTGTCATAAACAATGTGGAAAGGCTGTTCAGTGGCTCATAATTCAGTCTCCCTGCTGGTTGATGCATTTATTCTGTCCCTTTCTGTGTCAGCCTCACGTCAGTCTCCAGCTTGACTTGAGATGGTGACTGTTATTCAGAGAGGGAACTATACAGTGAAACTTCTTTTTTTTTTTTTTTTAAACTAGTCTGGCTTTAAAAAGGGGACAGTTTTTCCTAGTCAAGTCAAAAGTTATGTTGGCTGAGATTTATGACATCTGCACCTACCTGAGTCCAACTGAGTCATCCTACCTAGTGAACATGAAGATACCTGCAGCCTCCCTTTGATTTTGTATTAGCATAGTGTGTGTCAGGGGAGAGAAGGGGAAACCTACTGCTTGTTCGTCTCCCCTGGCTGTAGGAGGAATGAGGGCCTGGTCAAATCAGGTCTACAGACCTTTAAGGTCTTGATATTCCCAGCAGCTGCCAAGTCCTTTCCTGTGATAGGACTTGCAGTGCTGGAAACATTGGTGGCACAGTGGCTTTGTGCTAGTGAACTGTTTTTCAGGAAAACCTTTTTCCCAAAGGCTGCCGATGTCAATTCTATAAAGCTGAGGCATACCATGGTGTGGGCATTAAGAAACTCCAAGTGTATTGGGTTGGGCTTTGCACTGGAGAGGATGTTGCTACTGGGAGGCAGTAGGCAGAACAGGGTGGGAAAGACTGGTAAAGACAGCCCCAGAGAATCAGCCTTTGAAAAGGTGATGGGGCAGCAAGGAGGATGCAGGGCAGTGAGATCTGTTGTCCTGGAGGATTATGAGTGTGAAGAAGAGGGAGACCAATAGTCTGGCATGTAGGCAATAGGCTGCTTAGCTTTAGAAGACTCAGGTTCTAGTCTAAGGCAATAGGCAATAAACTTCCTCTTTGGAGGTAGTTCCTTTTGGAGCCGTAGGCAATAGACTTCCCCTTTCTAGCTTCTGTAAAAGTGAGGAGGCACTGTGATGTCTCAAAAATGTTCATCTACAGCTCATTACAAGCAAACCATGGCAACTAGCTAGTGAATTGGGTGGGACTGGACCTTCAGATGTCCTTCTCCCAGCTACTAGTTCTGATTTTCCTCATCTGCATGTGCAAATGGGCACTGGCCCATTGGAAACAACCCTTGCCTCTTTTATGAGCATTCAAACAGCTGTAATTCACAGAGAAAATTAACTGAGCAACTGTGACATGTGAAATGCCCACAACTTTTTCCAGCCCTCACAAATGCAAATTCAGCACATTGTCTTGATTCTTAGAATATTTTGCCTGACTCTGGTGCCAAGTGTTACTGCCAACTCTACATCGCTTTCTGCCCAGCTTGGGAGCAGGGGCCCTTCTCTCTCTTGGAAATTGCATGTATCACAGAGCTGCTGTGAAGCTGGTGTACTGGCAGCATGAGCTGCCAGAGCAGTGTTTGGCTGTCCCCAAAAGGCTTTTGGCCTCTTGGCTGGGCAAGAAGCAGAGGGACACAAATGATCATTCCATGTTTATGCTCAGCTTTGAAGTTAAGCAGTAGCGGGTAGAGGGATGGTGCTGATCTGCCATGTTCCCATGTCCTGGCACTGCAGTTTGTGGTGTCTCCTAGTGAGCAGGGTGCCCCAGAGATGGAGATAGGATGAAGGTGACTTTGGCAAAACAGCCCACAAAAGCCTTAGCCAAGTGGGACTGTTTAGTTTGAGGAAGGGGAGGCTAAGGGGAGACTTCATCACTCTCTACAACTACTTGAAAGGACACTGTAGAGAGGTTGGTGCTGGTCTCTTCTCACAGGTAATTAGCGATAGAACAAGAGGGAATGGATTCAAGCTGCAACAGGGTAGGTTTAGACTGGACATTAGGAAAAAATTCTTCACAGAAAGAGTGGTCAGACACTGGAATAGGCTGCCCAGGGAGGTGGTTGAGTCACCATCCCTGAAAGTGTTTAAGAGTCATTTAGATGCGGTGTTGGGGAATATGGTTTAGGGGAGAACTTTGTAGAGTAGGGTAGATGGTTGGACTTGATGATCCCAAGGGTCTTTTCCAACCTGAATGATTCTATGATTCTAAGTGTTTCAAAGAGCCAGCTTTCAAGGCTGGAGGGCTCCTCCTTGCTGTGGAATCTCTGATTGTTCACCTCACTCCCTGGCTGCTGGCCCTGCTGGAATTTCCAGCCTTTTTGAGTAACTCTTGGAAAGGACTGACAGATTCCTCCCGCCTAAAGAGCATGTCACACAACTTACTAGCCTCTTCTGTAACCCTTTGACACGTTTTTTGGAGCAGGGAGTGTTGTTACAGGCAGTTGGCTTATTTGGGATCACTTGCGTAAGATTCTTCATCTGTTCTCTGTGCCATGAAGATCCGCTTAATGTTATCAGAGACGGCGTGTGAATGAAGTGTGATGTCCCCTCCAGCTGCTGATCTTGAGGCTTCTCAGCGCTTCAGGATCTGTGCAGGACAATGGGTATCCAATGTCCTAGTGGACAGGACTAGGTACAGGGATGGTGCTGAGTACTTCGGGGACAGGGGAGCTGGAGGACTTCAGGGTTAGGGGACCTCAGGGTTTTGTTCCCTTTCTCAAAACTCTGCCTGCTAGACTGCACTTCTCTATTGCGATGTTTCTGCTTTTAGCTGAGGCTGACAGAAGAAAAGTAGGAAGTGGGAACTTGACATGTATCCGTTCTGTCAGGATTTCAGGCAGCTGTGCCAGAGTTTTTTGAAACCCATGTCTCCTTATGGAGCCTATAGATGTGAGCTGAAGTGGTGAAATCTGTGTTGCATCCCTCCCCTCATCAGGATCACTGAAGCCTTGAAGAGAAACTAACTGCAAATGTAAATGACTTTCTGAGAAGAAAGTTGCGCTGACTGTTACAGACCTCATCCACCTGGGGAAGATTTCTCAGTATCACCCAAGGTGAGAGTGTAGCCGTTGGGGTACTGCTGGTCCAGCGCCCATGTGGCTGTTCTTGTCTACTATAATGAAAGCTTTTGGGTTTTGTCCCCTTTGGGAAGGCGTTTAACTCAACCAGAGTTGTATCTAAGCTGGAGCAGAGTGTCTGAACGGGGCTTGACCAGTATCACCCCAACGGTTTCCATTCTCACCTTGGGTGATACTGAGAAACCTTCACCAGGTGGCTGATGCCTGTAACAGTTAATCTAACTTCCCTTTCAGAAAGACAATTACTTTCACAGTTGTTTTTTTTTTTTTTAGGCATCAGTGGTATCTTTTAAAATGCAAGACTTTTCCCATGCAGACACACACAGCAGGTGCCTGGGGGAAGTGCTGTCTGTGCTTCACCATCAACCCTGCTCCTACTTGCCTTCTGGTGTTTCTTGGCTTGGAGACGATGTTTTTTACTGGCTCTCAGCAGGGACAGTGCTAGGAGGCTTTTCTCTGGAAGGAAACCACATAGGTCAGTGGCACTGGTGTTAATTGAATCTCAGATCTTTGTTAAAGGTGTGATGATGAGGCAGGTGCTTTTCTAGTATATTATCTTGGCTGGGAAGAGGAGAAAACTCCAATGCTAAAAATGGATCTGGCTGTGAGGAAGGGTTGAGACCCTATGCAGGACTTGAAAGGCCTTTTAGTACCAGAAATCTGCACAGCCCTTCCTCTAGTTGCTAAGGTAAGAACCACCCTGAAACTACAGGGTGCTTCCTCCTGCATGCTGAGATCCAGGTGTACTTGTCCTTCTCTCAGTAACCTATGTCTAGCCAGTCTGTCTGGCTCTCCTGAGACTTGGCAGCTGTATTATGGATCACTGCTCCCGAAGATCTCTCTCTCTGCGTTTCTACCTTTTCACTACCCAGGAGGAGAGTAGCAGGCTCTGAATGTGCTGCATTTTTATCCCCCTCTCAGGTCTGAATACAGGTTGCTTCTACGCCCTGTCCACTCTGCTGAACCGCATGGTGATCCATCACTACCCAGTAAGTGCATCCAACCCTCAAGGTCCTCTGATGCTTTCTGTTGTCTGGTGCTGACTGCCAAAGGAGTGTCTGTGAGAAATGCAATGCCACAGCACTTCTGGCTGGCTCTGGCACAAGTTGGCTGGCTGGCAGGGGTTCCTTTAGTTCTTTACCCCACTCTGTGTGGAAGCTGGTGAGTTCCAGTGAAGACAGCTCTCTTACACCCTAAATGACAGCATGTTCTTCCGAGAAATTCTTCCAGCAACTGCCTCCACCATGTTCCTGACAGTGATTTCTACTGGAACATATGAACCAGGAGGCTGCCCACACTCAGGCTCTGGTGGCAGAAGAGTGGGGTACCTCAGTAGCTGAGCTACTCTAGAGTTTACTGCTGGGGCTGTGGGTCAGAGAGGTCCTTTCTGTGCTGCCTTATAGGGGGTCCCAGTATTTCCTGGTCAATCTGGCCCAAATCCTAACATTAGACAGCAAGCGTCACAGGGTTTATGCTGACTCCTCTGAGAGTGTCTGTTCACGCTGGCTGGTGTTCACTTTTTTCTCTGGGCTGGCTCAGAGAGAAGTGACAAACCACTTTTCTTTGTGGGCCAGAACAGGACACTGTATTGGCTCACAGTGGGTCCAAAACTGTTCTTGCAAAGGTTAGTTCTAGTAGTGTGTTACCAGCAGAAGACACGTATGGGACACTAACTTTGGTGTGTCTTCCTCTCAGGGTTCCCTGCACTTTGCTTCTTGTTGGATATGACTTAGCTTCTGCATTTGTGTGAGTGTGTGTGTGTCTCACCACAGGGGGAGGAGGTGAATGCTGGCAGGATTGGACTCACCATTGTACTGTCGGGGATGGTTGGGGCTTTGATCTCCGGCATCTGGTTGGACAGAACCAAAACATACAAGTAAGTCCCTTGTTTGCCTCTGTCCCCCTAGGGAATGTGCTCTTCCCCCATACAAGGAGCAACCTCGTGCAGTTGCAACTTGGCAGTCCAACGACTGAATCATTGGGAGGGCTTGTAGGAAGAAAAATACAGTTCTTCAAAATCCATTTAGTCTAAAGTGACGTTTGGAGCTGTGTGGTGTTAGTCTGCACTGGTCCCATACAAGGTCTGTTTCTAGTCCCTAGGGAAGCACAGGGAGAGGATGAGATGGTCCAGCAGCTGTCAGGGATGAGAGAGTTCTTGGCACAAGCAGAATCAAGACTGTACCAGACTATTTCTCAGCCCTTACAAACCAGCTTCTGTGAATCTTTGTCCAGCTTAATGAAAGGCACATTGAATCTGGTGCCCAGAGGCATTGTGTGCAGGCATGTTGCTATATTTAGGGCAAGCATAAGGGGTATTGGGGCTGTGCGTGGATGATTCTGGATTTGTTGCCTAGTGGCTTGGGAAGGTGAATCTGGCCAGCATACCCTGCTATCTGCAAAGGGATAAGAGTATGTGGGTGTCCTGCAGCTCCCAGTCCTCAGGAACTCAGATCTCACTGACAGACTTCTGTAGGGTGTCCTGGGGGATGAAGAATGCCTCTCATGTCTTATATTGGGGTCCGTGTAATCAGCTTATTAGTTTCCCTGCTGGCTTTCAGAGCTGTGCTATAACCTGTTGGTTGGGTTGAGTGAGAGGGGGCTTTACTGGTGATGTGCTGGTGATGAGCAGACAGCAACTTTGGAGTTCTTGTCCTTGCAGCAGCTTTTCACCTGAGGGAGTCCCACCGCCATTATCCTACCTGGTATCTTGGGCCAGAAAAGCAGCTTAGATGAATCTGGCTAGCTGTGGGCTTGCATCTTCTGAAGTGGCCTCTGGCACTAGCTGGTACTTTGGGGATCAAAACCAGAGAGAAAATGGGCTTCTCTAACAAGAAAGAATGGTAGCTGAGGTCTCCTGGGGGTGCTGGGGAAGAGGAGCAGATGAGTAATACAGAGACAGGCAGGTTGTTGTTGCTGTTTCTAGATCACTGTGTGCCGCTGAGTGGTTCTCGTTCGGCAGTCCTGGGAAATAGAAACACAGCTGCTAGGAACTGCCCCAGCAAACTGTGCAATGGAGCTTGTGTGTCTTTCCAGTCCAGGTCTAATGGTAAGATAGCCTCAACTACCACTGCCAGGGCAGATGGTCTTCCTGGTTCTCCCAGCTAGGTTGCAGCACGAGTGCTGAGGAACTTTGTGGCTCACGCAAAGTTCTTGACTTGAAATTTGGCAGAATGGGAGAGGTGGGGGAAAAAAAATTCCTGGATTTGTCCCCTGCTTGCTTGGAGGGGGACCACATAGCTGGGCAGAGCTTGCTGAGAGTGCAGAAAAATGCAGCTATGGCACCTGTGGAATTTATCCTACAGACCCCAGGGACTATCTGGGAATAGATTTAGCCTTAGGTGAGGAAAAACACTGCTAAGAATTTCTTCTCCATTGCCGCCCACAAAGTGGATTTCTGTGGAACTAGCAAAAATTTTGAGTGCTACAGAGTCTTTATTTAGCCCCATTTAAAAGTCTATTTAAAAAAACTGTCAAGATGCCAGATGTTCTAGGTAGGTACCCTCCCCCTTCCCTCTGCTGCTCAGGCAGTGTCAGGAGCAAAATGGTAAGCACATGAAAATCAGGAAGGAAAGATGTCAAGTCCTTTTTTTTTAGGGAGAGAGGGAAGCAAGTGAATGGGATCCAGCTGTGATTGAGGGGAGCAGGGGGAGGTTAATAACAGAAGGAATTGCAGAGCTCTACATGCGTGTTTGATCTTTACTGTCCCATCAGCAGTTCCTTGAAAGGGTGAAGCTGTGCTAAGTCAGGCTTTCCCCATCTGTCATGCTCAGGCACCAAATGGCCTTGCATTCTTGCTATTATTTGGCAGGCAAGTCCCTACAGCAGCCCCTGTGCTGTTCATATGTTTAGAATTAGCAGGCACAGATTTGGCCCATACAAATACGTGAGTTACGTTGTGACGAGTGAACAGTCCCAGAACTGAGGTGGTGGCTTGTTAAGAACAGCCCACTGCTTCAAAAGGACACGTTTTGACATCACATTAAGTAGGGCTCCATGTACACCCTTCAGGTTCTTGGCTAAGAGGATAGATGGAATTGTGACACCTGGAGACTATTGGGTATGTTGATATTTGTAGGGGAATCTGGCTCAGAACCAGAGGTTTGGGGACCTGGCTGGAAAATAAATTGGTTCAACTCCTTTACCCAGCAAAGAATTGTGGCGGGTTTTGGTGGTCTGTTTTCTGCCATTTTTAATGAACAAAAGTGGATTGCCAGGTGATTAGGCCAGGACCAGAGCAGGTGCAAGATAAGGAGGGGGGTGTGTGCGTGGACAGGAACATACATGCCTGGGGGAGGACAGGGGAAGCAAGACCTCCATTTTGACGGAGGTATTCATTCTGCTCAATTCTGTTGTAGAAGCTTGTCTTGAATGTCCTGACAATTGTGAGTGCAGTGGGGGGGGACCTCTCTTATGGCCCAATTGCAATGGGTAGCTAGCTTTTATGTCTTAATTATTGGGTGGTAAAGATTTTCACCTTGGTTGTGAAGTTGGATTAGGCTCAGTTGAGCCCTTACTGGTCATCAGGGAGCTGAGCCGTGGGGTGGTGGCAGTGTTGTGGTTTTGTGTCACACCTCTGTGTATCCCTTCTCTCTCCTCAGCTTGGCATCGCTGTGGGCTTTTTGGTCCCTCCAGTTCTGGTTCCCAATGTGGAGGATGTGGAGAAGTTGGCCTATCACATCAGCATCATGTTCTTCATAACTGCGGGTGTGGCAACAGCCCTGTTCATCCTGGTTGTTATAGGTAAGGAGGTGGGAGAGTGCACATGAAACCAGGTGGGATTGAAAAGATCATCCTGTGTGTGAGGGGCCAGTGTGCTAGGAAACAGGCCAGGGAGGTCATCTGGGGATGAGTCCTAGAAGGCAGCTCACAGGGTCGTGCAATACCATATCTTGCTGCTTCAAGCCATTGATGAACATCACGTGTAAAAGGGAGTACAAGAGGTTGTGAGTGAGCCTGCCAAATTGTTCAGTTCATCCTTTGATTGCCTGTGTAATAAAACCCTGGCATGAGTAAGTCCTTTAAAAGCCAGTAGAAATCTTCCAAGGTTCACGGTCATCTTGCCTGCAAACAGGGTGCAGGGACTTGGGTTATGTCTTGGACCTGACTACCTCTTAAGGGTAGGGAGAAAGAGGCAGGTTATCTGTCGTTACAGGAACAAGCTGTTCCTAGGATGAAAAAAGTAACCAGTTATAAGTGGAAAGAAGGAAGCCTTAAGGGCAGTAGCAGGACACCAGAGGTGCCATTCCACTGCTTAACATGTGAAGTGGAAGTCAGATCTTTAGCATGAAAGATTGACAAGTTCACTGGAGAGCAGAGCTTGTCAGCCAAGTTCCATGTAATGCCAGCTGGCTTTTCCCATTCCACTTCTACATTTGTAACTGCATGCAACTCTTTTGCAGCTGGCAGGCCATCATCCTGGAGATAAAGGCATTATTAGTTCTGAGAACTATCTTGTTGCTGCCAGACACTGTCTACACAAAAAGCTAATTGAAAACAAGGTGCCTCCCCCATCACAGGAGTTATGTTGGAGAGACCCTGTTCTTTTCTATTCCTGGATGTGTGGAGATCAAAGCTTAAGGGTGATGGTGTGTTTTGTTTTTACTAAACCCTCTGGTTGCACTTGGTTTTACTAGCCCCTCTGCTGTCCCTTAAATGTCTCAACCCACAGCATGTGCTCAGGCTGACCGATTGCAGTGTTACAAACAGCTCTACTTTGTGTCTGGTTTCAGTCTTCAAGGAGAAGCCCCTGCACCCGCCGAGCCGAGCTCAGGCCTTGATCCAGTCAAGACCGCCAGAGGAGTATTCCTACGTGCAGTCAATCCTCCGTCTGCTCCGTAATGCCAACTTTCTGCTGCTTATGGTCACTTATGGTAAGGTCTGGCCTTTCTTCTGTGCAGTTATCACTGCTAGACATGTTTAGCTTCTCCCTCCCTCTCCATGCTCTGTTGGGACAGTAACTGGCTTGAGTTGTTTTAGGGGAGCAAAGGGCTGGCTGTGCTGTCACAGACCAGGAGTCCTCCTAGCCCAGTAATCTCCAGCAGGGGTTACAAGCAGATGCCTAGGGAAGAACAAAAGCAAGGCAAGCGCACAGAGGACAATGTACCTCCACCACTGTTCTCCTGGTCTTTGACTGTTTTCTGTTCAGGGGATTTCCTTATCCTGTTGTCCTTTTTTCTAGTCAGTTAGTTACTTGCAATGACCTAATCTAAGTGCTAGCCTAAGAAATCTATGGAGCTGTGTCTGAGTGCAAGTCACAGTGCTGGGTGACAGTCCTTTCCCAAGGCAAGGGTATGGCTGCCAGGCGTCCCAGCGGAGGTCATGTGGAGCGTGCAGATGTGCAGACTGTGTCAGCTTCCCTGGCAGCCCCTGTGAGGCAAATGGAAGGAAGGATTGGAGAACATCTTCTTTTGCCATCTGTCCTTGCACACTGGGTTTGCTGCTCGCCTCTCTTCAGCAGTCTTGGTCTGTTTCTCTGAGGGCAGTGTGATGTCTTGAATTTGTTCCCGATGCTGAATTGTCATATGGAAAAGTACTTTTCTCTTTAGCAGAAAGGCCATTGTGGTCTATGCCTGGCTACATAATAGGATGTATTGTAGCCAGCTAGTCTGCGGGGACTGCAGTCATCGCTTCCTACCAGCTTGATGTGGAAGCTCCTCAGGGGGAAAGTTAAATAGGGCTGCAAGTTCTGACAGCAGTTCTGCCTAAGGGACCTGGTGGATGAGTCGCCAGGTTGGAGAGAGTGAGATGGTGGCTTTGTACCTGCTGAGGGTGCTAATGGTCTTTGGAGTTGTTGAAATTTATTCTTTTTTGGTGCAGTAGCACTCTAGAAATGCCCCTCTCAGATTGCCCTTAAGCTCTGCTAGTTTGCGTTGCAGC